GGGTTAAACCGGATTGGTGGGAACGGAAAATTCAGGGTGGGGAGCTAGAAAATCCAGATTCGAAGCCAGTATTCCACATGGGCTCCAGAATCCTGAGGGAACAAGTGGCGCATAAACCCATTGTTAGTCACCGGCTACCATAGGAATGCATCACCTAACATTACTCTACTGCCTTGTGGATTAAACGCTCAGACCAAAGGCTCGTAGTGTAGCTCCCTAAGAAAACCACCTGTTTCAGTTTGCGGACTGTGGCAGCATCCCACCCCCTACACTAATTAAATAATAAATACTTTGTATAACAAATATATATTTTGATACCCCTTTGTACCAATATTTATGTGTTTAAATAAACAAATACATATGACACATATTGATTGAACAGCATGTTACTAGTCATATATTTGAATTATATTCATATGTATTTTATATCAAATAACAAATTAAAATACTCAAAATGATATGAAAACGTTGAAACTGTGCTTAAATTAAATTCTGTTCTAATTTTATAACTACTTAACAAACATATAATTAGTAGTAGGATCTAGAATGATCTTATTTAAATCAAATCAAAAGTTTCATGAATAGAATATAGTGTAGTAATTTTTATTTTATTCAAGTTTTATTTGTTGTTAGTAATGTTTATAATACATTCAATTCGTTCTGAAGGAATTGATGAATTCATATTTGAAGAAGGATAATATTCCAGATGGAAAAATTATTCTTTTTGATGATCTTATTGTCAAGTGTTTTACAAACTTGTTAAGGTTAAAAATCAAATTTAATAATGGTTTTATATGTAGTAGTATGAATGTGTATAGATAATAAAAACATAAATTGTAAGCAGAGATGGATAGTGGCTTGCAATGGAATTCAAGGCGCGCGTCACTTCGTCCTATTTGGGACTCGTCAGCTGGATTTACCTGTATCTCAGAGTTAATGTTCACTCTGGGACTCGAACCCAGTACCGTTCGCTTCAAACGCCATCGCATTATCCACTCAGCTTAGGAATGCTGATAGCCATCTGCTTGTGTAATGAAGTGAAGTTTAAATTCACTTAATATTGTTTGTTTGAACCTTCCCATTGATGTTTTAGGACTGAAACTGGTCAGTCTCTAATTGACATATGTGCATACTGTGCGTATTGCCTCGATATAGCCTTATTTCAACATAAGTTGTTTGCTTATATTTAATATGTTATTCTGTAATGAATTAATAATTAGACTGATTCAGAAGTATGCAATATTTTAGAGAATTAAGATCAAAGACAACTACGAATTTAAAAGTTGTTGTACGATACTTCATGTTGATAAAGGAAGAATATTATTGTAAATGACAGTAGCAATTGGTATAAGGTGATCGTATAATAATAATAGAATATGCGAACTTGGGGAGTTCCACCTTATATATTTAGATTTTATGAATTGGAAAGGATAAAAGTTCATGTACACTATAAAAATATAGAAGGACAGAAATAAAACAGAACATAAAGAAAAATACAAAAAGGAAAGTAGGATCATAATAGGTTAATCAACTTTACAAACCGTTTCTGTGTGCACATACACATACACAAACGAACACCTATATGGAGTTACGGATCCATAAATCTTCACCAATGTAAATGATATATAAGTATATACATTTCAATAGAGTTGGTTTAATCTAATCAATAATTTTGAATAATAAATTTGTGATTGCATGTTTATGGTCAACCATATACTACTGAATGAATCTTATACTTCTATGTTATCATTTACTGAGACTTTAGATCATTTATGTTAGATCACTTATATATTCAATGCTTACAATTCCGTCTTTGGATCCGTTCACAGTACACATACCTACTGAAAAATGTAATGGATAAATCAGATTTACTATTGAATATTAATATATTAATGCAATTAAAAAATAAATTCTTATGATAATGGAAGTGATTTCAAATAAAGTTTCAGAAGATTCTATAACTAATAAGTGGAATATGATTATCAATAATGAATCACCAATGATTAAGGCAACTACATATTTTTTTAGAATACAGAATATAAATAAAGGATTGTCAGTATAATAGATTTTTAATCAAGTGTTTGCAAATATTTATAATATTCTTGAATCCGTCGGTAGGACACATAGATTTGCTAGATTTTTTAGTGAGCTGAATGAGTGAACTGTTCCTCAGTATACCTAGAGAAGTAGCAGCTAATATGGAAAACAATTATGAACTCATTGTTATTCCATCAAATCGTCGTAGATTTTATCAGTGAGTGTGAAGTTAGCACTTGTGACGCATCTCAATATACATTTTCTATGACCTTATCTGGGATTGCAAATTTAATTTTTTTCTTACAAGGATTGTATAATGGTAATTTTAACTCATACGTAATGACACGTAACATTTTATGTCAACCAGCAATATCAGCTTCTTATCTCATCTCTTCTATTCACTGAAAATAATAAGCACTATTAAGTATTCCAAGCTTATTGTGATAGTACAAACTGAAGTTATGTATTGAAACATTATAACGTAAGGTTAAAGAACGATTTTTCAATGATAACTCCCATTTTCAATGATAACTATATGGAAACTCTACACAATGTTGAAGTGCATAAATATTACCCTATTCAAATAGTTTACACTTAAATAGTTCTCTGTATTTCCATTCTATATCTTTTAATCTAATAACATAACTAGTGAAGTTGTTAGGCTCAATCTATAAAAAGTGTTAGACTTCAATTTTATAATAGTTCTAATGAAGTCGATATTTCATAAAAGATTTAGACTTATAACATCCAGTATTACATGCGAAGATATTACTTTTCAACCAACAGACCTAATTAACAATAAACTTACATACAAAGCTCAACATTGATTATCAGAAGAGAGTTTTTGTGGAGATTTAATACTTTCATAGTTGAAAGCGTGAGTCAATTGAAGCCAGACCATCAGTGCTTCCAGGTTTTTCCTAGTGGTCTAGCTTCAATTGACTCACGCTTTCAACTATCAATATTGATTGTCCACAATCGTCTAATACTAGACAAAAGTTCTACGATATAGATTTATTTGCATTAATAACCAGACTACATCTTGAACATTATAACTTAATCAATATAAAAGAAACTAATACATCATACTAGTCTTGATTAAGTAAAAAGTTCGTATAGACATATATCTTTTAGCTGTATGTAATAATTCCTAATTGTTATTAGTGGATAGTAATGATAAGCTTTATATATACGAGTTAGGAATGAAGTATTAACATCCATTACAATTCAAAATCATACATTGTCCTATTTTTCTGTTTATCCATTTACTTGTTTGTTAATTTCATTATCTACCCATTATTATTTAGATTATATATATATATAAAGAGAGAATAGCTTTTTCATTATGCATATGTCAATTTTAATTTATATCATTCGTATATACAAAATCCCCATCTGAGTCTTCTGTACTATTGGTAATGTAATAATGTGTTTTAGTTAATATGTATAAAATGAAACTGCCTAATTAGTGTTTAATAATGAATAGACAGAGTAATCATATAAAAATAATATTTTTTTTAAATATTAAGCAAAAATGTACAATGATAGTTTTTGTAGTTTAGCAATTAAGATAGATTATCTAACAGAGATGACAGTTATGATAGTTCAAACTGAATAGGATACTTCGAAGCACTATCCTAGAGTACCATATGATGCCGTAAAATATGCTGTCTTATGCATTTATATAATTATCAGGCATTATGTTAAGTCCAATACGAAGACATTTGCTTCTGTATTGAAAGCCAGAAAACAATAAATCTACAGTTAAGATCTTTCAATGGTACTATTTAGAATCAATCGCTACCATATAAATCAACCTCCTATTTATTTCTCTATATGTTTATGGCCGGAATATACTCCCAATCACGTTTTATTCATTATGCAAGATCATATAATTTTAACGGGTTCCCTTAATTTTCTCAGGATTTCAAATTGTTTCCATTTGCATCCATATCCATAAAATAATTACCAGTTCAATATGATTTATAAAAGATGTCTTTAAATTAAGAATTTATTAAAGCACTTGTCATATGTTATTGACAATATTAATAATTAGATATTCTCAGAAGGGGTTTTGTGGATATTATAGTAATTTCAATAGTTGAGATCATGAGTCAATTGAAGCTAAACCACCATGGAAAACCTGGAAGCACTGGACGGCCGATTCGTCCTACTGTGGGACTTTTCAGCAATGCGCATCCAAGATCCCACCTCGCGAGATTCGAAACCAGAACCTATCAGTTTCACGAGCGAGTACTTAACCTCTAGACCATTGAGCCGGCATCTAACGGTGTTAATGTCTAACCTCAACCGATCCACGGAATCGAGCAACACATCCTCCATTGTCTTCAGTGAGTTACTATCTCACAACAGACCTGATTGAACTCCACTGGTCTCTGCTTTTCACTAGAACTCCAGGAGATACCTCATGGAGCCAGTGACTAGTGAGCATATGTTGATTAAAATCAGAAGGAGTTTTGTGGATATTATTCATGATCTCAACTATTCAAATTAAATATTCATTTTTACAAATCAGAAGATTAAGATTTGCTCACTTAAAGGCGTGAGTTATGTAGTTCACTTCTGTTATCAATACAATATACATGTGTGTACATCTCAAGTAGGAATAAAACAGTACTGTTTTGGTTTCAAATCTATTTTTCATGAAAATTACCTTAAATAATAGTAGTACATAAACTTAACATAAACATTTCAGTTAGTTCAATACTTTTTTATTGCAAAATTGAATGCATATTATAAATCAATATGATTTACTACTCCGCAATTTTTTAGCGGCAAATTTTTTTAAAAAACTCACTCATATAGTGTAAAGTTGTACTTCTTTTTTTCTTCTTCGTTTAACTCAAAAATCAAATCTATTTATAACCAAGTCAATACAATTAAAGTTAGTTAGTAATGGTATGAAACAAAGATTTTATTAATCTATAAATTAGTTAACTTACTCAGATATTTTGAATTGTTCAACTGTGCATTGCTGTCGTCTTAATATATTCCGTTTAATATTAGGAACTCCGATAATTGTGCTAGGATTACTGTTATTATTATTATTAATTGTAGTAGTAATAGTGGTAGAAGTAGTTTCATCTGATTTCTTTTCAGTTTCTAACATGTTATATGAATTATTCTCTTGTTTTGTACTAGCAATGGATTCAGATGATTTAGACATTTGAACATATGGTAATTGATATTTCTCATCATTACAACAATTTACATTGACTGAATCTTGAATAATGTTCCTCGAAGTATTTTTATCTGGTAAACAAGTACTTAAATTACGATAACTTCGAAATGAAGTCTTTTTATTTGTCCTTAAATCTATAGAATTTAATTCTGATTTATCATTCATTATTATTAACAACAATGAACTATTGTGATGATAAAGCTTATCATATACTTCTTCTTGTCATTCGTTAATGATATTATCATAGTGAACTAGTACCATGAAGACTCACTTTTATTCTTGTTTATTTATTAATTAAATATAAAATAAAGCCTGACATACATTATCAGTATACTGGTTTAAAATATCCAAAATAGTTGAGATTAATTCCAGCTTTATTTTTGTTTTTATTTATTTATTATAAATCCTAAAATGTAAATTGTGTTACAGTAAAATGTTGAAAATCTATTTGAGTTTTTCATTTCACAGCTTCTTAAAATGTTGTATTGAACCTCTTCAGTTAGAAATAATAGAATAAATTAATAATGTTTCTTCTTTTCAATGTTATACATATTAGTGTTCTTTTCTTCAAAGAAAATCATCTTCATTAACATAAAGGATCCATAATTCAAAAGGTAAATTTCAACCAATAAATGAATCCTCAATGCTGAAAAATTGTGTTGTTTTTTTCTGTTGTGAAGAAAATTCTTAGATCTGAAATTTATTTTATTATATATATATATATATATATATATATATATATCTATATCGGTGTGTGCGTGTGTGTTTGTATCTGTCGAGTGTAGTCTTACATGCTTACAGGCATATAAATATAAACATTTGGTCATATAAAAAATAGACAAACATTTATAACAGATATAGACACATACATGTGCTTGTCCACTCCTTTTTTTTTGTAAGTACACTTATAAACAAGCAAATCAACTGAATGAACAAACGTGCAACTTATAGCAATAAGCTAATTCGTATAAAGAACATATGCATCTGTTTCTAGGTACTCTTAAAAATAAATTAGAATGCATATATATAAATTGCAGCTCTGTTCAGTCTGTGAAAAATCAGTGACTTCACATACATTTTCCTCATTCCTGCAATAATCATAAACTAACTTGCTCTGTAGTTTATGCTAAATAAATTTGATTATTTTGAAAGAAAATAAATTCTGAGTTAAAAGTTATATTATATAAGGTAAAAGAGAGTAATATACAGTATAGTAGTGTACAGTATATTTGTATTTATTTATTTATTGTGAAATTATTCGTTAAACACAAGAAGAAATCTATCAGAGGATTATCAATTCCATATGGCAGTTGAAATATTTCAGTCACTAGCTAATAGTTTAGAAGTCTATTTTAAATGCTGCTATAACTTTGGATATCATTTTTTTAAAATTCATTCATCATATATATAAAATATTAATGTTTAAAGATGATGGAGAAAATTATAAGAATTTCTTCTTTCTGTTGAATAAGTTAACTTTTTTGTGAAGCTATTTAAATCAGTGGAGGGACTCATTCTTTCATCGTACCAGTTTTTCAATATGTGTTTTAGCTCAAATTTGATTGCACAATTAACTGGACTAAATTCACTTAGTATTGTTTGTTTGAATCTTCCCATTGATGTTTAGGACTGCAACTGTTCAGTCTCTAATTGGCATATGTGCATATTGCCTTAATATTGTCTTAATTCACAAAAATTGTAAGCAAAGATGGATAGTGGTTTGCAGTAGAATCCAGGATGTGCGTTTCGTCCTATTTGGAACTCATCAGCTGGATGTAGCTGCATCTCAGAGTTGTTCACTCTGGGACTCGAACACAGTACCGTTCGCTTTAAACGCCATCGCGTTATCCACTCAACTACTAAGTCCAGATTGTTTGTTAACTTTCTTTAAGAGAAATTTTACAACCTATGATGACACTTAATATGCTGAATCACACAAAGGTACCTTTGTAATCTTTTTTACTAAACATGTGAGCCATTTATAGCTTTATTATTCATTATAAATAAACCAACATTTTTCTAAGTACCCCTCTTTTCATTTATTCAGTTAGTAAATTTTTTATAAGAATTAAACGATGCAATTGTATAAAGCTTGATAATACATTATGTTACTATCTTAACTTTAACTCATAAAATCGAACATAGTGTATAAACCTTTTCGAAAATTTAACCACCGTTCAAACAAATTGTCATGTTTACATTCTAATAAATATGATGCATCCACCTTCAGCACTGATATCAGTTTCTAACTTGTAAATTTGTCAGTAAATATTTTCGTTTCCGTTTATTTTTATATTGATAATTTTGTAATTCGATTGATAGTTTTTGTAGATTAGCTTAATTTGTGAGTGATTGACATTCATTTAAGTACAATTAGAAAACTAGAAGAAAGTCAATAAATGATTTGCTTTGGCATGTAACTCCGTAATAATGAATCCCCACGACTTTACCGGGAATCTAGTCCTAGATCTCCAATTCTGAAAGTGAGCTTGCTATGTTTAAACTATTAAGTTAGAATTCATTGCTTAACGCTTTAATATTCAACTAATTTATAATAAAGTGCATTATAATCTAGTATAATTGATAATGACTATCTCACCTACGAAATGGTTAAACTCAGTAGATCAGAACTTCCAACTGAAACTTCAAGAATTTATCACGAACCTAATCAACTATAGTTAGCAGAGATGGATAGTGGCTAGCAGTGGAATCCAGGACGCGCGTTTCATCCTATTTGGGACTCGTCAGCTGGATGTACCTGCATCTCAGAGTTGATGTTCACTCTGGGATTCGAACCCAGTACCCTAGCTTCAAACGCCATTGCGTTATCCACTCGGCCACTGAGTCCTGATAGCCACTTGCTTGTGCGATGGGGTGAAGTTTAAATTCAACTTAGTATTGTTTGTTTGAATCTTCCTACCGATTTGTTAGGACTGCAACTGGTCAGTCTCTAATTGGCATATGTGCATACTGTGCGTATTGCCTCGATATACCTTAATTCACAAGCATGGTTAGCGGAGATGGATAGTGGCTAGCAGTGGAATCCAGGACGCGCGTTTCCTCCATCTCTGCTAACCATGCTTGTGAATTACGGTATATCGAGGCAATACGCACAGTATGCACATATGCCAATTAGAGACTGACCAGTTGCAGTCCTAACAAATCGATGGGAAGATTCAAACAAACAATATTAAGTTGAATCTAATCAACTATAGTTTATCAACTCCTAGGATTCGATTATTTTCTTACACCAGACATTAACCAATCACCTACACGTATATCTAAAGATAAACGAAAATAAAATACTTTGATTTTATTCTAATTTTGAATATTGGTTGGGACTATAATTTATGGACGAACCAAACAGATTTACGACAACAGGTCATGAATTTTGGCATGAAATTAATTAATTCATTTGGCCAAATAAAGTTTTGGCATTATAGATGATGTCAGTCCGTGATGAAAACCGTAAATCTAATTCCTAATCCTAACTATCAACTGTAAACAGTAATCTCAATCCCTTACACTGGTTTATAACCCTCATTTAGTCGTTTAATTTAAACTGACATTCCCACGGTCTTTTTAGCGTTGCTCAAAGATCGTCCATAAATTATAGTCTCATCAAATATTGTTCTATTATGGATGCGAAAGAGAATATTTAATCAATGATTGATTCAAACTGCTTTTTTGGCTATTGAAAATAGTTTTCGTACAAAAACTTGCACATTGTTTCCCTGTTTATGCATTTCCGCTTACAACTAAATCAGTAATCAATCCATTTGATTTTGCCTAATATTAATATTTAAATGTTTGACATTATTGTTTTCAATCTTTAGTTTGAAGAGAACGATATTTCATATTAACTTTTCTTGAACAAATGTTGGTTTTCATTACGAAAAAAATATCGATATAAACCGATGCCTTGTGGAGATTTGATAATGTTATTTATGAACTGAATTCTTTATTAGAAAAAAATAAGAAGTATTAAACAGCTCCTCAGGAATATATACTTACGAAAACTAGATTAAATGGGATACAGCAGCTTTAAATCTCGTAAAAAGTCAAATAATTCTAGAAAATACCGATTTCCCTAATGTAAAACTGTCTATATTTTCTTGGAATTCTAATCAATGAAATTATAGAACATTTCACAACCAAAATTATTAATAAACATCTGTTCAAGCTATAAATTGATTGGTTAGAATCAATCATGTCTTCCAAACCTTATTCCCAAAGCTAATTCATAGCAAACATGATATTTTTTAACTGGTTCATTAGGTTTGTAAAGCTTTACATTTTTCTGTTATTAATATAAAATACTGCAAATGATCAATCTTTAACTGGGTATGAATTTCAGAGTTAACATCAACTGATAAGTCTCTAACAGAACGGAACTAACCTCCTGCATTCCACCGCTAGCCATAAACCAAATTTACTATAATTGTTCAACTGAATGTTTGTAAGAATTTTGTATAACTTGGCGTTAATGTTTATCATTAAAGTAGGGCAATTTGCGAATTAGTGAATATCTAGATAAATTATTTTTTTGAACATTGTTTAATTTTATAAGGCTCTATAAGGGAAATTATTAAAAAACTAATTAACTTATACATTAAAAAAATTCTCAAAAATCAAGAAAGGTTTTGTGGAGATTTCAGTATTTTCATAGTTGAAATCACGAGTCAATTGAAGCTAGATCACCATGAAAAACCTGGAAGCACTGGACGGCCGATTCGTCCCATTGTGGGGCTCCTCAGCAGTGCGCATCCACGATCCTGCCTTGCGATGAAATTTTCATAAGAAACTTATATAATATCTGCTTTTTTAAGATGTATTATTAACTTTATTCAATATTATATTTTTGGTACAATATAGAATTCTGAGCACAAGGTATTTCAACAAGTTTCCCTCTCTTATTTCTTGGTCGATCCTGACGATAAATATTGAGTGATCGCCAATTAGATATTACTATTTCAAAAGTTGACCTCCTAATGATATTTATTCTTTTCAATGCATTTTGCCAGTCATTATGATGTCTCCGATTGTACATTTTTGTATCTAGCACAGCGAAAAGTCATAAACTTTTCACAAACGTACCTGAATAGATTATGCAATTATTTAACATAACGTACTGTTAAAACAACAAGGTAATAGATAACATGTTAAAATATCTAGATGGCAGGAACAGGTAGCTCAGATAGTCAAGTAGGCCGCTTAAGATACTAGTAACTATTATTAACTCTTAAAAGAATAGTAAACTAATCTAAACCGGAGTCAAATTATATATAAATTTAAATTATTCATTGTTGAAATATGACTAGTTGATTCATAAATTTTCATTTAAAAATCTAATAGGAAATCTCATTTAAATTATGCATCAATAATCTTAGGACGTCAGTAACTTTCTAATTAAAAATAATGCCCCATAGTAATTCGCTTCATTTTCTTCTTACTGAATTATAATAATTATTCACAAGTATTCAATACTTTCTATTGTTATCCCACTTGTTTCTTAAAGCAAATAGAAATGTTCTAATAAATTCAAAAATACCACTGATATGGGAAATCTTAGATTCCTACAACTCAACATTGTGAATAGTAAGTGTAAAAGATTACTCTAATTAACAAAAGGAATCGAACAATGCAATCAAAGGTTACAGAACATGTGCCTAGGTAAATTCAAAATCATTCAGTGTCAAATGCTTCGCAAATATGAGAAGTGAAAAATCATGTTCATCGACAACAAAACGTGATTGAAATGGAGCATGA